GTGCCCCAGGCTGGGCCCAGGGGAAGGCTGGTGTGTGGGGTCTCTGATGCTTCCTTCAAGGATTCTGCCAGGCAGAGGAAATGACAGAGTCCACTGCCACTGCCGTTCTAACTGAGTGATTGCTGTGCCCGGTCACTTTGCTGAGAGCTTCTTCGCTCCATCTCCTGTAAGTCCTGGGAGCCAGGGTGGCCGGCTCAGGGGATCAGGGACTCCGGGTCTGGTGCCCGCTCCGTCTGCTGCACTCCTAGCCTTTCCCACACGGGGTCAGGAGAGCCGAGTGGGTGTTCTGGACGTCTCAGGAGGTGAGTGAGGACCTCAGAGTGGCGCCCCAGTTCCTGGGTTCTGTTCTCGCCTCTGGCCCGTCTGAGCTGTCACTTAACCCTCCTGTGCAGTCGCTGCAGCCAGAGGACCCGAGGCTTCAGGCTGTGAGGGTCCACGGAGGGGAGGTGTGACAGTCCCACCAGGTGCCAGGCTCTGGGATAACGGCTGCCAGTTTATATTACTATGGGTGTCCTCATTGATGTTGGCAGAGATGATCATCCTGCTGGCCTCGTGCCTGATGGGTAGAGCCTTGTCACCCAGGAAACAGAGGGGCCACAGGATGAGCATGCTGGCAGCCTGGTGCAGGCATGTCCTTGGGACCAGCCTGGGCTGGTGGCAGGGTCTGGACCGAGGGAGCAGGGAGCCAGTGCTCCAGTCCAGACTGCGTCGGGCTGCTGGTTATAAGACATGCGCTCGCGCCCTCTTGGCTGGGGAGCTGGGCATTCCTGGCCTCCTTGGCTGAGAGCCTTTGAACCTCCCTCTCCTGCCTGGCCAGAGTCTGAGGCCTGAGTGGGGAGCAGGGTGTGTCTGGGCGGCTGCTCCTCAGTGGCTGCGCCTGTGACCACGTTTGTTTGTGAGAATCTTGAGCTTCAGCTGGGCAGTGGTGGGATGGCACAGACCCATCCACGTGCCAGGGAAGGCCCACCAGCTGACACCCAGGGACATGGTCCTTGGAGATGGCAGCAGCTGTTGGGTGAGCTGGCTCTGGGTTGGGGGTGAATGCCCGGGTCGAGAGGGGCACCAGTGTGTCCTGGGGCCTTGGTGGTTCCCTTGGTCTTGGCTGTCCCTGCCCCTCTCCTCTGGCATCCCAGGGTTGGGTGACACTCTCGCTCTCAGGCAAGTCCTCGGGCTGAGGTGGAAGCAGGGCCCTGCTCCTGCGGGGACAGGCTCAGGCTCCTCCTCCTCCTCTGGGGAGCTGGTCATGGCACCTGGCAGGCGGTGAGCAGCCCTCAGGGGGAGCCAGGCCTGGGGACATCTCTGGGTGTTGGCACCTGTAGCTCCCCTAGCCCCTAAAGCTCAGGTGGGTTCCAGTGTCCCAGCCTCCCCACCCCCAGCCCTCACCCCGCCGAGCCAGGTGAGCCTCCTGCAGGTGAGTGGACTCTGGGGATGCGGGACAGATGGCCCCTTCCCTGGAGGCTGGCAGCAGCTGGCTCTGGCTCCTGTGGATGTTTTCCCATCCCCGAGGCTGGGCGGCCGGGCAGGCCCGGTGTCCAGGGGGTGGGGCCTCGGTACTATTCCGACTCTGGCTGTGGCTGCTGGGTGGGTGGCAGTGGGGGGGACAGGAAACCAGGGCCTTTCCGCTGGCCCAGTGTTGGGGCAGAGCTCCGCCTACCACAGGCCGGCCTGGGACTGGGACTGGCCTCTGACTCATCCCTCCCCAGGAGCTGGGCACACACTGGGGCCTTGTCCTGGGGCTCGGAGGTCAGTCACTCTCCCCACTGCTGGGGAAGCCCAGGTGGCCTTGGGACCCTGGTGCCCAGCCGGCCCGTGGCGGAAGGGCAGGACAGTGAGGTGCCCTCGGTTCCCAGGGCCAGTGGGCAAGGTCTCTGCAGGCAGGACAGCCTGTCCCCAGCCACACACGCGGGGCTGCAGAGCACGCCCAGGCCGTGGTGCATCTTTTACCCTCTGCTCTCACGATTCCGGGCCAGTACTGCCCGTCATGGGGCATCAGCCCCCAAGACTTCCCCTCACGGCTCCTGCTTCGCGACCCTGTGCCCAGCGTTGTATGGGTCACAGCCCAGAGGTCTGGGAGATTCGCGGGGTTTGTCTCACATCAGGACAACCGAGTCCTGCAGAGGTTCCGGTCCTTGCTGAAGTCTAGCTAGAAAGCCACAGCAGCGAGACCCACACCCTGGCCCCACTCTCATGCAGGCTTGTGATGCCCAGGGGAGTCCCCAAGGACATCACCTGTGGACATGGGAGTGGCCCGCCCTGGAGACACAGAGCTCACAGCGCTCTGCTAATGGTGTAGAGTGGAAGACCCGCCGCTCTGTGGGCGAGCGTGCTGGGGACGGGTTGTGGGGTCCCAGGTAGGCCTGCTGAGGTCTGGACGCGGCAGCGAGTCTGCGTCACAGAGAAGGCCCCTCACACCTGCTGCAGCTGAGGTGGGCGTGGCCCCAGGGATCAGCACTGGAGGCCCAGTAGCCCCGGGTGACTCAGGCAACAGGGGCCGAGGCGGGCTCCGTCAGATTCCCTCTAGAAGGTCATCCGGGCTGAAGTACATGTTGGCACAGTGCCCACATTGGAGGGTGCCCGAGGACTCAGTCCCATCAAACTTACCCTTGGGTTTTATTAGGTAGGCGATCTTGAGGCTGTGCCTCCTGGTGGTATATAGCTCTCTGGAGACCGACCCTGAGCAGAATCAGGCTGGATTCACATCAGTCGGGAATAGCCAGATGTTTCTTGACACATGCTTTAATCTTTATCTCACGGATCTAGCAAACATGTAAATGAAGCATTTCCCTTTTCCCATCAACTGCCAGGAAGCTCTGGCCCCTATATGTAGCCCACAAGTCATTTGGTCCTTCCTTCCTTCCTTCCTTCCTTCCTTCCTTCCTTCCTTCCTCCCTCCCCCCTTCCCTTCCCTTCCCTTCCCTTCTTTCTTTTTTCTTTCTTGCAGTGCTAGGGATGGAACTTAGGGCCTCAAGTGCTCTACCACTGAGCTCCGTCCCCAGCTGCTGTCACAGCTCTTTGTATGCTGCCCTTATTCCAGGTTCTTTCAGACTTTCAACACCCTTGTTTTTCCCGGGCCTCTTTTTGTCACCTCATTTTCCTCTGGGAGGAGAAAACCTTGCTGTTTTATGTGTTTTTAGCCTTAACTAAACAAACATCTATGGCGGAGCCGCACTGCTGGCTACTGCAGGCCTGGGACTGAGCGCTGCCCCTCCCTCCGGCTCCCCCTGCCTGGTTCCTGGCACCCCAGAGCCTCGGGAATCCCTCCACCCAGCTCCCGAGTCTGGGCAGAAGGGGGCGGGTAGCTTCTTTTCTCCCTGCCCCCCTTGGATTTGGTGACATGTTTTGGGGAGGAGCTGGGAAGGGTGTCATGTCCGAGGGAAGCCTCAGCTGTCCCCACAGCCCTCAGGCCCCCTGGAGGTCCTGCTCTAACCCAGGAGACTCCAGCCACTGCTGTCCCTGGTCCCCCCCCATCCCCCACCCCCAGAGGGAGAGCCCAATGCTAGGGACAGGTGGTGGCCTCAACCAGGTGCCTTGGAAAGGGGGAGGGGAGGACAACTGGCAGTACCCTGGGCAGGAGAGCAGGCTCCAGGAGGTGCCAGGGCTAGGTTTTAGTGCCCCCCCCCCCCGTCACCAGTCTCCTCTTCAGCTCTTGCATTGGGAGCCTTCACTTTGTCCCCAAGGTTAATAAATTGAGCCAAAAGCTTGGTGTGACTGTGCCCCCTTCCATCGTCTGACTGTCCCCCCCTCCGGGGCACCTACGGTTCAGTGTTGTGCCTATGTACAAGTGTCCCCCACCCAGCCCCCGAAGGTCTGAGCTGGTGGTGGGTCCTGCACCGTGTCTTCTGGCCAGAGCTTTCCTGACCCTACGCTGGGCGATGTCCTCAAGTCACCTAAGCCCATCTGTGGGGCCTGCTGGCTACAGTGAGTTGAAGAGAAGACCCCAGGGCAGCGGCTGGCTCTGAGGAAGGAGCCAGGCCTCTGGGAAGGGCGAGCCTGGGGCTGGGCTGCAGGAGGCCTGGGGAACTTCCAGTTGGGTGCAAAACTGTGGGTACAGATGGTTTTCCTGGGACGAGGGATTGCATTTTTAAGGGGCCAGTGGCCCAGGGAAGGTGAGGAGCAGTGCTTTGGTGCCCGGAGTGGGAAGGGAGGCTACAGCTCTGTCGAGGACTCTGGTTCTCAGGGATGGCCACAGATCAGGCTGACGGGGTGGGGACAGACGCAGCTCGGGGTTCTTCTGGAAGGTGACTGGACTTTTCCCCTGCTGACGGGCCATCCCTGTCTGCTGTGACGGTGGCCCTGCCTGTCCCTGGGAATGCAGTGCGGGGCCTTCTGAGCTGACAGAACCCCATGGTCAGAGCCGGGAGTCTCCGGTCACTGGGCTAATGGAAAAACCCAGGCACAGAGGGGCCAGGGGTGGGGTGGGGGCCAGGGAACCAAGGTCACTCAGCAGCCAGGGAAAGGCAGAGGCTGTGTGATGCTCCTGAGGGTGACATTGAGTTCAGTGTCCCTTCCCTGCGGGAGTGGTGGGGGATGAGGTAGCGCGGCCTGTCCAGGCTTGCCTCTGGGAGTGCATCTGAGGAAGAGGGGCTGCATCGGGCAGGGACATGCCTCGGTCACACCTCTCCGCATCCTGCAACATCACCTCCCCTGGTGGCACCCTCACATCAGGCTGCAGCCAGCCCCCAGGAAGGCAGGCCACAGCAGGGCCCCAGTTAAAGTGCAGGGCTAGGAGGCTGCACTTTGGCACTTGGCCACTAGAGGGCAGAAGGAAGGCCACTGGGGGACTCTGCATAGTTCCTGGCAGGGAGGGGGTCCGAGAAGGAGGGTTGGTGTAGAGGTCGGTCTCACTGTCACTGTCAGTCCCTGTGGGCTGCAGGGTGATTCCCCAAGAAGCAGATGTTAGTGAGGACACTTTTAACGGCTTTATTGGGTGTAACCCTACGCCAGGCACAGCACTAACTCATTGGTCCCACAACAGCCTTCTCATAAGTATCTCCATTTTGCAGGTGAGACAGCAGAGGCACAGAGAGATTAAGGAATCTAGCCACATTCCCACAGCTGGTAAGTGCCTGAGCTGGGACATGGAGCTGGTCCCAGAACCCAGCTCCCAACCACGAACCATTAAATTTGAATGTCCAACACTGACTAAATTCTTTAAGTCGTTCAATTCTTCTGATCGGTTGGAAGGTGGTCACACCTTCTTTATAGATGGGGACACTGAGGCTCACGGACAGCTGGTGAATCGCCCACATGTCCATACCCACTGAGGGGCAGACCTAGGCCGACCTGGCTCCTGGCGAGCCCTGAGCTCCCGTTTAGCTTTGTGATGTGCATCCTCCCCTTCCACTGCCCCCCTTGGAATTTGGCTGACTTTGAAGTCTGAGCTTTCTCCTGGGCGTGGGAGTCACCCCCTCCCTTGCCTTAGCAGAAAGAACAGATTCTGGGCTCCTCTGTCTAAGCTTTGACCAGTTGGAGCTGGAGGGAGCCCATGCCAGAGGCTGCTGGAGCCCAGGAAGGAGCCGCGAGCTCACAATGTGGCCCGGAGGACGAGAGCGTTGAGGGCTCTTTCAGTGGCCACTGCTCCCTTGGGAACCACAGGACCTGGCCCCGGGTCCTCTGGTTTCCAGGGCAGATGCCTCCAGCATACCAAGGAGGCTTGGCCAGCACTGGGCTGGCTCTGCCAGGCTGGCAGGGGAGCTGGGCACTTCCAGGAGGCCTGGCTTCCCCACCTTCCCATTCCCATGCCCTGGCTTTGCCCTCCCTGGGAGGCGGGGCATGGCCTGTGACTGGGACACTCCCCTCCGGTGCCCAGCACTGGCCTTCAGCTCTCTGGTGGGGTGTGGAGATGTGGGGCAAGATGGCGAGATGCTGCTCTTGGAAGACCATCTGGGATACGTTCTGTCTTTGGCACTGGAACCCTAAGTTTGCGGAAGAGTCTCAAAGGGGGTGAAGTATGGGGGCCATCAGGGAGTGGATCCAGGGGGTGGACTTCGGAGCATGGCCTGCCCCTTCCGAGGTGGGGAAGTTATTTCACCCTGAGGGGCCGCAGCTTCTTCTCTATAAAGTGGGTTGTGTTGGGGTCAGCCTGACCTGTGGGGAGAGTGCAGCTTGGGAGGACCGTCATGGATGCCCACAAGTGCTGGCCCTGCCTGGTGCTGTCTCCCCTGTCCTCCCTGGAACAGTGCCTGGCCGCCCTGGAGAGCTGGCAGATGTCTGTGGAACGGCTCTGCCGCTGAAGAGCGGGCCCTCAGTGACCCAGGACTCAGTGACCCAGCCGCCCGCGCTCCTGCTGGTGCCCCTCCCTGCCTGTCGCATCGTGAAAGGCGCTCACATTTGTCTGGGGTTACTTGGGCTGAGGACTCCCGGGCCTGGCACCTCAGCGGGCCCACTGCCATCTCAGCCCAGGCTCTGCCCCCTCCAAGGCAACCTACTGCTGTGGCTCCTCTTCTTTCTTGGGACACAAAGCTGGTGGTGAAGAGCCCAGAGCACTGGCCTAAGCCTGACCTGAGGGACTCAGGCCTCTGCTATTCCTTAATGGCTGCTGAGGTGGCTTTTCCTTAGTTTTTGAGACTTAATTTCTCCAATGGGAACGAGGACCCTCCCCTCCCAGGGGGTTTGTGAGGAATCACACGGACCAGAAGGTGGATGTGCTTGGCAGCTCTGGGAAATGAGCATGCGCTTGCCCTGCTCCCAAAGGAGTCGCGCCGAACAGCAGGGTGTGGCTGGGGGGATATTTGCACTTGAGTCCACCCGTCACCATGAACAGATGAAGGGCAGTCAGACAGTAATGGAAAGAATGTGCTCAGAGCCTCGGCAGTCAATCTGCTCCCCCTTCTAGTGCCCAGCCCCTCTCGTGCCAGTCCACAAGTGGGCTGGGGACATTAATCAGATGCGTGTTTGAAGGCCAAGTGTGTTTAAGCTGGAGGAACAGGAAGTCAAGCCTCCCAGGAGGGACATGGGGGGGTGCTGGGAGACCTCCGGATGTGAGCTCACACCTGTTCTGTGGGCTGACACTGCACCTGCCGGGGTACAGGGCCTCGCGCTTCACAGGTGCTCAATAGATGCTAACTGAAGGGATCCCCGGGTTTTGGTGTTTTCACTCGGACTTGGGTCAAGGTCCGGAACACCGCCTAGTCCAGTTCTGCTTTTGAGTTTCAGTAGCTGCTCCTCTCCGTGTGGCTGGAAGAACACCCCTTCCTGGCGTCCCTCGGAGCTGCCATTTGATGCAGAGGCCTGAGGTGAACCCCTGCTCGCATCCCTCCCTGCCAAATTCCGGGAACCAGTTGAATTTCAAAAGGTCAGACTTGTCTGTTGATTTCAAGCCCAGAACCAATCCGGGATGTGCTGGGGCTGAGTCCGTGAGGCCCGAGGCTCACTAGCTCCCTGTCCCCCATGGCCCTGGTGTGAGCAGAGGGTAGTGGGTGAGTGAGGTAGGTGAAGGGGTGGGGTGCCGGGGTCTGGACCCCAGGGATTAGATGGCACTGGTTGGCTAAGATCCTGGTATCAATGATAAATATAGGGGAAAAGCAAGGCCTTTATTGCCTGACTTGGGGCAGACTGTGGGACATAAGGCATAGGAGAGGGGGACACTGGGAGCCCAATCCCATCCTCAGAATGCCTGCCCTCTCTCTTTCTGTAGTCCGCTGGCCACAGGACTGGTGCGCAGGCTTGGACCTCTGACCACAGCCAGCTAAGCCTGGGAACACGGGCAGCCGCGGACAGCCCAGCCTGGAGCAGCCGTCTTTGGTAAGTGTTCGGCTCTCCCTCACTGGCTCCAGAAGCCCCAGCACTCTCTCTGGGGCTGGGAGCTGAGCTGGCCTCCCTGGGGGCACCTGCAAGATGCTTGGGGCAGCCTGGGTCCTTTCTGCTTCCCGTGGCTCCTTCCAGTTCCCCTTCTGTGAACAGAGAGACTAAGGGGCTAAGGGTAGAGGCTCTCGGTGACCAGCTTGGATGAGCCAGGCCTGTCTCCTCGGGCTAAGATCTTCTGGGCAGTCCACTCTGGTAGCGAGGATCACCTGGGCCCATGGCCACGAGCAGACCCCAGATCCTGGAGAGGGCTGTTTCTCAGTAGCTCTGGGACCCCTCCCTCTATTTCAGGCCAGTTGACTCGAGGGCGTTTAGGAGCCCAGAAATCCACATCTCGAGATAGCTGGGCACCTGCGTCCACAGTTGAAGGGATGTGGGCACAGCTGTCCACCACACCTGTCTCCCCTAGCGTGGACAAGCTACTGGAGAGCACAGCACAGAGAAAGGACGCCCACCTGGGGGAGTGGGCACCAGCTCATTGGGCTGGGGAAGCATGTTGGTGGCCAGGCAATGCCAGCAGGGTGTCAGGAGTGGCAGGGTGTGGCCTGAGGCCCCCCTAAGTGTAGGGGTTGGGAAGAGAAAGGCTCTTTTGCACAGTTGAGCCCCTTCAAGGAGCTCAGAGTTCAAGGTAGGAGGCTTCTGCAGCCATGTATGGGTTGGATCTTGGGCTTCAGGTTGGGTAGATCCCTGAAGGTCCCACGGGTCCCTCACAGAATGACAAAGCCTAGCTGCTTGGGCCATAGGTCTGAGGATGGGTGTGCGTGAGAGGGAGAGGGGGAGAGGGAGATGGATGTCCCTGGGCCCCCTGGAGGCCTCTGGCTATGGGAGGTACCTGACCAGGCCGTCTTTGCTCCCAGACCTCGACCCTCCGAGAAGCAGCCCCATGAAGGTGGCCAGCCATGCAATGTTCCTGGAAGGCCGTCCTCCTCCTCGCGCTGGCCTCCATAGCCATCCAGTACACCGCCATCCGCACCTTCACCGCCAAGTCCTTCCACACCTGCCCAGGGCTGGCCGAGGCCGGGCTGGCCGAGCGGCTGTGCGAGGAGGGTCCCACCTTCACCTATAACCTCTCCCGAAAGACCCACATCCTCATCCTGGCCACCACGCGCAGCGGCTCGTCCTTCGTGGGCCAGCTCTTCAACCAGCATCTGGACGTCTTCTACCTGTTCGAGCCCCTCTACCACGTGCAGAACACGCTCATCCCGCGCTTCACCCAGGGCAAGAGCCCCGCAGACCGGAGGGTCATGCTGGGTGCCAGCCGGGACCTCCTGAGGAGCCTCTACGACTGCGACCTCTACTTCCTGGAGAACTACATCAAGCCGCCCCCTGTCAACCACACCACCGACAGGATCTTCCGCCGCGGGGCCAGCAGGGTCCTCTGCTCGCGTCCCGTGTGCGACCCTCCGGGGGCTCCCGACCTGGTCCTGGAAGAGGGGGACTGCGTGCGCAAGTGCGGCCTGCTGAACCTGACCGTGGCCGCCGAGGCCTGTCGCGAGCGCAGCCACGTGGCCATCAAGACGGTGCGCGTGCCCGAGGTGAACGACCTGCGGGCTCTGGTGGAAGACCCCCGGTTGAACCTCAAGGTCATCCAGCTGGTCCGGGACCCTCGGGGGATTCTAGCGTCCCGGAGCGAGACCTTCCGCGACACGTACCGGCTGTGGCGGCTCTGGTACGGCACGGGCAGGAAGCCCTACAACCTGGATGTCACGCAGCTGACCACCGTGTGCGAGGACTTCTCCAATTCCGTGTCCACCGGCCTCATGCGGCCCCCCTGGCTCAAGGGCAAGTACATGCTGGTGCGCTACGAGGACCTGGCCAGGAACCCCATGAAGAAGACCGAGGAGATCTACGGGTTCCTGGGGATCCCCCTGGACGGCCACGTGGCCCGCTGGATCCAGAACAACACGCGGGGCGACCCCACCTTGGGCAAGCACAAATACGGCACCGTGCGAAACTCGGCGGCCACCGCCGAGAAGTGGCGCTTCCGCCTCTCGTATGACATTGTGGCCTTCGCCCAGAACGCCTGTCAGCACGTGCTGGCCCAGCTGGGCTACAAGAAGGCCGCCTCGGAGGAGGAGCTCAAGAACCCCGCCATCAGCCTGGTGGAGGAGCGGGACTTCCGCCCCTTCTCGTGACACGGCGTGACACGGCGCCGGGTTTGATAAAGGGACCATTTTAACTGTTGCCTTATTCCCCACCCCCACCCCGTCTTCGTGTCCTTCCCGCCCCCTGCCCACCCCGCCCCCTTCTGCCTTTTTGTCTCCGATATTTGCACTACACGCCTGGGACGGGAACCGGGCAGAGGGCGCACGTGAAGTGGGGCCCGCCCGCCCCCCCCCATTCCGACACTCAGAGGTTGGGTCTCCCGGGGACGGTGACGATGTTTACAGCACCCCGCGCACACATTCACGCACGCACATGGGCCCACCAGGAGAGGCACCCCAACACACGACTTCTCCAATTTTTTGGAATGAATGAGTGGTTGGGGGATCGTAGTTTTTGCACTGTTTTACTTCTACAAGGTAAGAGGATAGAAACGAAAGGACCCCTCTCTCGAACTTCCGAAAGGGGTCTGTCCCTCCCGATCCCTGCTTCCCGGCCCTGGCCCTCTTCCTCCCATAGAACAGAGAACCCCCTCCTGCCCGCCCTTGCCTGTCGGTGAGCAGGTTTTACTGTGAGGTGAACGTGGACGTCGTTTATTTTTTCCAGTCTGTGGTGATGCTGTCTGTCTGTCTGAGTCTTGTGGCTGCCCCTGGACAGTGATGGCTGATGAATCTTTTAAGTTTCTGATTGATCTTGGGGTCCATCTGTGATATTTCTTTGTGCCAAAAAAAAAAAAAAAAAGAGTGAATCAAGTTTGCTAAATGAACATTGAAATGCTTTATCTGTGTTTTCTGTAAATAAAAGTGTGCAGTAATAGCTGGGCGTGATGGTGGGGTCTTGTGATTGGCTGAGAGCGGCTGGGCAGGGTCTGGGTGTTCCTGGCTTTGGGGAGAAGATTGGTATTAAATGACAAGTCTTCCTTTTAGGACTCTTGCTATGCTTTACACTGATTCCACTGAGTTCCGGGTGTCATTCCCTTCTGTATCTCAGAGCCAGACATGACCAAAATGTGCAACAAGTGGTATGGCTTGGTGCGACAGAGGTGAGCACGCGGTCCCGGGACCCTGTGCCAGAAGTTCCTCCTAGGGTCTGGGGCCTAGGTCGCTGGGAAGGGGGACCGATCAAGCGGTGGGGTGGCTCTGGGCAGTGGCTGCTTGGTATTTAACAACAGGGGCAGGGTTACTGGTCTCTACAAAGTGGAATGTCTGCTGTGCTTACATCTTAGCAATCTAGCCTCCAAGCAGAATGCTCAGCTCTTACTGCAAGAAAATAGCCAATCTCGGGGGAGGCTGGAGGTCAGTTTTCCTGGTTGGGACAGTGGGAGCTCCTGGTAATGAGGTGGCTCCTGGGGTCCTGGGCAGACACAAGAAGGGCTTCCTGAGGATTCTTGGTCCTGAGCTATAGCCTATGGACCAGGAAGAAACCAGCTAAAGCAGAAACCTTAACTAATAGGAGCCTAATCAAGATTGGGCCATTTCCTCCTCCTCCTCCTCCTCCTCCTCCTCCTCCTCCTTTTTTTAAGGTAGTAAAATGCACATGATATAAAGTTTGCCTCTGCAACTGTTTGTGAGTCTGGAGTTCATTAAATCCATGCAGAATGTTGTGCTCCCTTCACTTCTGCTCGTCCCCATGAGGTTTTTCACCACATAAAGCTGAAGTTCTGGACCCATTAAGCAATAACTCCATTTCCCTTCCCCTCAGCTCCAGGCAACTGTTTCACTGTCTCCAGGATTTTGACTCCGAGTATTTCATACGAGGGGAATCAGACAGTATTGGTCTTTTTAAGCCTGGTTTCTTTCACTTAGCACAGTGTCCACTAGGTTCGTCCATGTTGTAGCATATGTGAGGATTTCCCCTCCTTTTTAAGGCTGAATAATACTCCAGTGTGTACACCACATTTTGCGTATTCATTCATCCTGTGATGGATGGTTGGGATGCTTTCATGCTTTAGCCATGGTGAGTAATGCTATCGTGAACATGGTGTGCAAATGTCTCTTTATGATCCTGCTTTCTGGGCTGGGTTGTGGCTTAGTGGTAGACCACTGGCCTAGCACATGCGAGGCCTTGAGTTCTATCCTCAGCACCATGTAAAAATAAATAAATAAAAAAAAAAGGAATTGTGTCCAACTAAAAATTTTTTTAAAAAATCTTTAAATTAAAAAAAAAAAAAAGATCCTGCTTTCGGTTCTCGTGTATGTACCAGAAGTGGAATTATTGGATCAGATGGCCTCTTTTTCTTTTTTTGTTTTTTCCTGGTGCTGGGGATTGAGCCCAGGGGTGCTCTGAACCACGTCCCTGGCCCTTTTTATTATTATTATTTTTTTGTTTTGATACAGATTCTCACTAAGTTATAGAGGCTGACCTTGAACTTGCAGTCCTCCTGCCTCAGCTTCAGCAGTAGTAGGGATGGTAGCTGTGCACCACTACACCCGACAGCCTATTTTTAATGTTTTGAGGAACTGCCATGTTGTACTATTTTAGATCCCAACAATAGTGCTTAAAGAATCAGATTTCTTCACTTCTTCACCAATATTTTCCTTCAACCCTCTTTTTTCATCTTATTTTCTAAAAGTTTTTATTTGTTTTTAGATATGCATAACATTTGTATTTTGACCTATGCACAAGGAATATAACTTATCTTAATTAGGATTCAGTTCTTGAGGTTGTAAAATGATGCGGCGTTTCACTGGGGTGTATTCCATACCCCTCCTTCTCTTCATTCCCCTTTGTCTAATCCAGTGAACCTCTATTCAAACCTCCCCGCCTCCACGTGTTGTGTGTTAGCATCCTCATACAGAAAGGACATCCCGCCTTTGGTTTTCTGGGATTGGCTTATTGCACTTAGCATAATAGTTTCCTGAATCATCCATTTACTGGCAAAAGTCATAAAGCCATTCTTTTTTTATGGCTGAGTAATGTTTCATTGTGTATATAGACCACATTTTCTTTATCCATTCATCTGAAGGGCACCTAGGTTGGTTCCATAACTTAGCCATAGTGAATTGAACTGCTATAAACATTGATGTGGCTGCATCAATGTAGTATGCTGATCTTCATTGTGGAGTTCTTTCACCTCTTTTCTTAGACTGATTCCCAAGTAAGTTTTTTTTTTTTAAAAAAAAATTATGGCTCTTGTGAATGGGATAGTTTTAAAAATTTCTCTGTCAGTTGATTTATTACTCATGTATAAGAACTTGATTCATGGGTGTTAATTTTATATCCCGCTACTTTGCTGAATTCATTTATGAGTTCTAGAAGTTTTATGGTGGAGTTTTTTGGGTCTTCTAAATATAGAATCATGTCATCAGCAAATAGGCATAGTTGGAGCTCTTCTTTTCCTATTTGTATCCCTTTAATTTCTTTCTTTTGCCTGATTGCTCTGAGTAGAGTTTCAAGGACTGTGTTGAATAGGAGTGGTGAAAGAGGGAACCTCTGTCTGTTTCAGTTTTTAGAGGGAATGCTACTAATGTTTCTCCATTTAGAATGATGTTGGCCTTGGGTTTAGCAGAGATAGATTTTACAATGTTGAGGTGTGTTCCTAGTATCCCTAGTTTTTCTAGTGTTTTGAACATGAATGGAAGCTGTGCTTTGTCAAATGCCTTTTTTTGCATCTGTTGAGATAATCATGTGATTCTTGTCTTTAAGTCTATTGATGTGAGGAATTGAACCAACCTTGCATCCCTGTGATGACCCCCATTTGATCATAGTGCATTATCATTTTAATACGTTTTTGTATGTAATTTGTCAGTATTTGGTTAAGAATTTTTGCATCTATGTTCATCAGGGATATTGGTCTGAAGTTTTCTTTCCTTAATGTGTCTTCATCTGGTTTTCATAATCAGGGTGATACTGGCTTCATGGAATGGGTTTGGAAGGGTTCCCTCCTTGTCTATTTAATGGAGTAATTTGAGGAGGATTGGTGTTAGTTCTTCTTTGAAGGTCTGGTGGAACTCAGTTGAGAATCTCTCTGGTTCTGGGCTTTTCCTTTTTAGTAGGCTTTTGATGGCATCTTCAATTTTATTGCTTGAAATTGATCTGTTTAAATTTGCTCTGTCCTCCTGATTCAATTTGGGTAGGTCAGATGTCTCCAGAAATCTGTTGATATCTTCAAGATTTTCTAATTTATTGGAGTATAAGATTTCAAAATAGTTTCTGATCATCAACTGTATTTCAGTAGTGTCCATAGTGACATTTCCTTTTTAAATCACAAATTTTGGTGACTTAAGTTTTTTCCCTCTTTCTCTTGGTTAGCTTGGCTAAGGGTTTATCATTTTATTTATTTTTTCAGAGAAGCAACTTTTTAAAAAAATATATTTATTTTTTAGTTGTAGTTGGACACAACACCTTTATTTCACTTATTTATTTTTAATGTGGTGCTGAGGATCGAACCAGGGTCTCACACGTGCGAGGTGAGCGCTCTACCACTGAGCCACAACCCCAGCCCAAGAACCACTTTTTAATGTTTTTTTTTTTTTAAGATTACTAGTGTAACTATTTATTTATTTATTTTTGTGGTGCTGGGGATTGAACCCAGGGCCTTGTGCATGCAAGTACTCTACCAACTGAGCTCTATCCCCAGCCCCCAACTATTTGTTTTATTGATTTTTTTGAAATTTTTTAATTTCAATTTCATTGATTTCAGCTCCAATTTTAATTATTTCCTGTCTTCTACTGGTTGATTTTGATGTTGATTTGTTCTTGTTTTTCTAGTGCTTTGAGACAAAATGTTGGGTTATTTATTTGGTAACTTTCTATTCTTTTAGTGAATGAGCTCAATGCAATGAACTTTCCTCTTAGAACTGCCTTCATAGTGTCCCAGAGATTTTGATAAGTTGTGTCGTGATTTTCATTTGCCTCTAAGTATTTTTTTTTTTTTTTTACTAATCCCTGATGTCTTCTGCTATCCATTGGTCATTCAACAGGGTATTATTTAGTCCAATAAATAGGGTAACTTCTATTTTTTTATTTTTTATTTTGTCATTGATTTTTAATTTCATCCATTATGATATGATAGAATGCAAGGTATCATCTCTATTTTTGTTGTGTTTGTTAAGAGTTGCTTTGCTAAGTTGTATTTGCTAAGATACGGTCTATTTTAGAGAAGGATCTGTGTGCCACTGAGAAGAAAGTGTATTAATTGATGGATGAAATATTCTATATATGTCTGTGAAGTCTAAATAATTATTTATATTTTTTAGTTCTATAGATTCTTTATTTAGTTTTTGTCTGGAGGATCTATCCAGGTGTGAAAGAGTTAAAGTCATCCAGTATTATTGTGTTTTGGTCTATTTGATTCTTGAAATAGAGAAGGGTTTGTTGGATGTACATAATGCTCTATTATTTGGGGCAGAAATATTTATGATTGTTATGTCTTGGTTGATGTACGGTTCCCTATGAAAGGACCTTCTTTGTCCCTTCTGATTAACTTTGGCTTGCACTTCACTTTATCTGATATTAGGATAGAAACACTGCTTATTTATGAGATCCATGTGAATAATATGTTTTATTCCCATCCTTTTACCTTTAGTCTGTGGATGTCTTTGCCTATGAGGTGAGTCTCTTAGAGACTGCACATTGTTGGGTCTTGTTTTTTAATCTAATCTGCCAGTCGATATCTTTTGATTGATGAGTTTAGGCCATTTACATTTAATGTTACTATTGAGAAATGATTTTTATTCCCTTTATTTCTGGTTTTTAATTCGAATTACTTCCTCTAGTGTATTTCTTCATTTTGCTGGTTTTCATTTTTATTTTTCATTTCATATGCATGAAATTATTGAATGTTCTGTAGTGTAGGCTTTCTAGTTGTG